ATTAATGGTTATAACGTTATATCTTGGTTTATTTTTCATGTATTATCTTTCTGCAGTTGCATCTTTATCTTTCTGTTCTGCTTAATTGTCTGCTTTGCTTAGTGGGTTTTTTCCTTGTGCGTGTAAACTTTCTTTCAATATTCTTTTCAGGCTTAGCATGGTGATCATGAAGTTCTTCAGCTGTTCTTTATCATGGAAGTATCTTATTATTCCATCCATTTTGAAGGATAGTTTTTCAGGACACATTAGTCTTGGTTGGAAATCATTTTCCTTTAGGATCTGAAATACTTCACTCCATGCTATTCTTGACTTATTTTTTGTGCTGAGAAGTTTGCAGTGATTCTGATAGATTTCCCTTTATAAGTGATCTGTCTTTCCTCTCTGACAGCTTTTAATATTCTATTCTTATGTTGGATACCTGGGATGGTGATTATTATATGTCTAAGGGTAGTTTTATTTCGGTTATGACTATTTGGGGTTCTATATGCTTCACTAACCATGATGTCAGGTTCCAATCTCATGTTTGGGAAATTTTCAGTGATTAATTCTCTAAATATCCCTTTGACATCCTTTATGTTGTCCCCTTCTTTTTCATTAATCTCTATCAATCTTATGCTGTTTCTCTTTACATCATCTTGCAGTTGTTGAACTGTTATTTCCTGATTCTTTGTTATTTTTAAGAGATCACTCCTTTCCTGTTCACTAGCTACAATCTTGTCTTCAAGGTCTGAAATTCTATCTTCACTTTCATTGAGGCAATTTTTACAGCCTTCAATGGAATTTTTGATTTCCTATATATCTCTGTGCATCTGCTTTATGTATTCTGTTTGTTCCTTGTATTGCTCATCCAGAAAGTCTATCTTTATGCTTAGTTCCTCCAATTTTTAAATGTGTCTTCTTTAGATATGTTCAGCAGCTCCTTCATTTCTTTTATCATTTCTTCTTTTACCTGGGAAATTATTTCTAGTTTTAATTCCTTTAAAGCTTCCTGGAGTAGCTCCTTTATTTCAATTGCTATGATATCTGATATTTAAGAGGTATGGCATATATTTTCTTCTATGTACATCACTCCTATGATTTCTTTGGATGGGCTGGAGGTTTGAGATTATAATTTGGTCTTTCATTTTGTCATTTTCCTGTATTTCTGTGTTTCAAGTGTTTCGGTTGTTATTCCAAGGCTTCCCGAGTGTCTATTGAAGATCCTATTTTATGCCCTCAGCTCCTGTGACTCTGGCCACCCAGCTCCCTGAATTGAGAGAAGGTCACTAAACATGGGTCAGGCTGGCCCAAGCCCAGCCCCTGGAACTGATGGCACCCACTCACCTAGAACTCCAGAGTCCCCCAAGCACAGTCAGGAATGGGGAGGCTGCCACAGGCCCACCCAGGACCTGCCACGCTATTCCAGTGTACCAGAAAGCCACAAAGTTTCCTGTACAGGGCTGAGTAGGTGTCCCAACTAACTGGACTTGGAGGAATGTGCCCAGGGCACTTACACCAGGACACCCAGCCTCTGGAACTGATGGCGCCCCTTGCCTGCTCAGAACTCCAGAATCTGCCAAGCATTGCCATGTCGGGGAGGCCACTGCAGGCCCACTCAGGACCCACCACACTCTATTTTTTCCCATTATTTAGGTAATATATTCACTCTACTAATTGGTTGCTTTGAAGTACAAAAGTATTTTAGTCAATAATGCACACCAACAGACAATTAATGAAGAAAATGAGGTAGCTATATGTAATGGAACATATTCAACTAGAAAGAAGCACAAATCTGAGATATTTGTAAGAAAATGAATGTACCTCAAAAATAAAACATTTAGTGAAATAAATGAGACTAGGGAAATAAAAAATAAAGATAAGCTTTATACATGATCCTTATAGTCTAAATGAATTTAATAAGCATGAATTCCATAAAGATGAACAAAGTTGAATCATATCACCAAGAACAAAAAAAGAGGAAATAGAGAAGTAATGATGGAGATGGGAGGGAAGGAAAAGGGAATTAAAAAAGACACAGCTGTATTAGATACATTTCCTATTTCTCACAATGATTGCAAAATGCATCTACTGAAAATATGTAACTTAAAGTTGAAAAATATATTGAAAAAGAAAACATCGGAGAAAATTTTAAATGCATGTTTTTTAAAATATGTATATATTAAAAAAAATCTGAGTGTTTTTGTAGTATAATTTCACAAAACAAAATGCTTCTGTGACCAAATACATGAGGTCATTTTTCTTGTCAAACTTCATGCAAGAAAGAAATTCTACAGTGAACACCAATTGCATGTATTCTAAGTAAATTCAATTCTGATCCTATCTATCTGTATGTGGCATCAGATTTCAAATGTGAAAGCCTCACTTTCTGATATTGTTTCTCTATATTCAAGTCATAATCTCTAGCTTTATTAGTTTGTGCTTTTGATCTATTGTCTACAAACTGAAGTTCTCAGGATCTCCTCTTGAAGTTTCATTTTCCAAATCTGCTTCCAGAACTCAAAGAACAGTTATTTATATTTACTACTTTAATATAAATATTTGTGAACATGGCAAGAAGAGATAGAGTAATATGGAGGAAGAGGTATGAAGCTTTTCTACCCTCTGATTAAGATACCGCCCAAGGGAAAATATCTCTCTACATGCTCAGCAGTACCAAAGTTCCCCAAACAAAACTTCTGGGTTTATATGAAAGGTTGATTATGAATGTATGTTTGGTCACTGTTGGTTTAATGAATCTTCAGTCCTTATACCCCTCCTAATTGTTGGAGAATAAGTCTTAAAAGCTCCAATTACTTAACCATGACTTAGTCTTTTGTGTACTTAAATTCATTTTAAAGTTATCAGGGTGCTACAAGTTACCATTCAATTCACTAGCATACAGGAAGACACTCATGGCTATGGGAATCCCAATAGTTTTAGGAATTATGTGTTAGGAGATGAGAAAGTGGCAAAATACTCATTTTATAATATTGTAATTGTATTTGTGACACTAGAAATTAAATGCTTTTCAGTGTTCCATCCACACAAAAATGGAAAGGCAGATACGTCTGAGTCAAGTTGATGTGTGTCATAATTGGGGAGAGAGATGACCAGAATTTAGTGTTTCAAAAATCTCCTTCAGTGGCTCTGTGGCACACAGTGAGTTTCACATTCTCTACATGACATGTAGAAATCCAAAAGTGATGGTACATTGTAATGAAGCCTGGGAACAATATCGTAGATGATATTATGTATAATCAGTGAAAACCAGAAAAAACATGAAGCAAAGGTTTCTTTCCAATCAGAATATAATGTCTGCATGTGAGCACTTACACATTTTGAAAGAATATGTAAGGTATCATCACTGTTTCTATCTTTGTTTAAAATCATCCTCATAGGTCATCTCCACTGAAGTATGGGAGCAAGGGGCTAGGTCTTATCCCCTTTTTTCCTTACATATGTTTAAAGAAGACAGGAATAAGTATTTTTAGTGTTCTTAGCTTCTTTACTACTGTTACTTAGATCTGCTCAGGTTTTGGTGTCTTGCATTAGACAATAGTGTCACAAGTTTAATTTTCAAATGCAACTGTGAAGTGGCAATCCTGTAGGTTTCTTACAAATTAATAAATACTGCAACAAAAGCAAATATAGCTAGAACATTAAGAAAATGTTGTACCATCTCCATTTGCATGACCAATCTGCCATGTAGCCATTACCAGATTATTGGTGAGCTGGGATATGAAAATGTCCTTTCCTCTCTACCTTACCATCATGGTCATACATAATTTAATTGGAAGGTCAGCCTGTGTTGGAAATAAAGTTTGAAATAATTTATATGCTGGTTTGAATAAAAAGTTAAATCAATTCAAATGATCCAACAGGGTAACCAATGTTTTAAAGACTTCATTATGTACCAGGCTTCATTAAATATCTCTATCTTCACCTCTATACCTTGAAAACTGTATATCCTTTATTTTGACATAGCAACAATTGCAGGTGTGAGAGACAAATAGGAGATATTTATATGTATTACTTAGTGATTTTAGTAATACAACATTAGAAATTTCATCTAGGTTGCACTTAAAACATTCTAAAGGTAAACTGTTTTCAAAACAAGACGAACTAGACATTATTTAAATTAATAGTACAAATATATTTCTACACATTATCTTGTAATTTTTAAAAATTTAAAAGTTTATTGTGCTTTTTATAAGCATCTAACTAGATTTTAATGGTATTTCAAAGTGAAACACCAAGTTTTTATTAAAGGAACATACTTAACAAGTCCTAAAATTAAATGTTTACCTAAAATTTACTTTCTTAAGAAGGTTTTTTTCAATATTTCACTTTATAATTTTATAAATGAATGTAAATAAGAACTTAAAATGCTAATTGAATTGCTCTTTTTAAAAATTTTACAAGTATGGTTTTTGTTTTATCCATAAGTTTCCCCCTGGATAAATATATCATTAACATAAAAGCATATGTTAGTAAATAAAAGATAACTATAGAACTGTAAATGCATGCATACTAAATATTATTTATTTCTATATTTTAATATTATATAAAATCTTCTAAATACTAATGCACTGAATTTTTCATTTTTAAATGTTGATGAACTTGTTAGTACATGATTATAGAGTTCACACAAATATTTGAGAATATTACTCTATTCAAATGAATCTATGACTGGAACTGAGTCAGAGTTTGTATTAATAATAAATACTATTACTATAAAGGTTTTATATGTGACAGCACAATAATATTTCACTGACAACTTATGGAACAACAAAATATGTTAATATTTATAAAATCTATATGTGATTCATGGCAGAAAAGTAAGCTTATAGAAGTTTGATATACTATAATCAGCATAACAAATTATGCCAACGAGCCTGTTTATCAGCCATTCAATTGTATTTCCATTCATGCTTGAAAATGTGAGGATTTGTTTAGTTTTGTGGCATAGTATTTGAATAAAATGATATCTCACTATAAATCAGACTTTAAATTTTCACTCATTGTCTTTTTATATTAAATTTTATTCCAGATATTAGAGTAGCATTTTTAATAATAAAAAATTTAAAATAGTATATAGTTGGTAAGCGACAGAGCTGTACTGTATCTGAATTTATCTGAATTCAATATCATTCTCTGAACAGATATGTCATACTCTCATATTCTTGGAATAAGCAATATCAAAGTATTTTTCAGATTTCTGAGGATTATATAAATGCACTTAACATTTGTATCTGCAAAGAAAAAAATTAACTTCTTAGGATATCACCAGAAGTTTCTTTTTTTGTCTTTTTCGTTTTTATCGGTACCAGGGATTGAACTCACGACTGCCTGCTTGCAAGGCAGGCACTTATGCCGCTGAGCTAAATCCCCAGCCCCTCACCAGAAGTTTCTAATGCATTTAGAAACTTTACATTTTCACCACTATCAATTTTATTAAGTATTTTGACATTTATAGTAACAACATTAAACCTACACAACTATAATTTCCTTTAAATTATAGCTGCAAGAACACATAAAGTTAGCTTTAATATGCAGCTCATGCTGAAAACACTTTTTAGACTATACAAAGGAAAATAATTCCAAATACATATTAAAATGACGGGGCTGGGGATATAGCTCAGCGCCTAAGCACCTGCCTTGCAAGCATGCGGTCATGAGTTCGATCCCAGGACCAATTAAAAAAAATAAATGCATATTAAAATGACAACAATTTTTAAATTTGGTAATTAGTGGCTAAAACATAATTCTTGTTTCATCTTTTTCTCACTCTCTTTCTTAAAGTTATCCAGTTTCATTACACTTGATGAAGATAATTTTAAGGTAGCTTCAGCACCACAACACATGCACCAGCTCTTCCAATGTTAACAGGAGCTTCCTAAAATAAAAACAAGGAAGAAAGCATTATTTTATTTCTGCATTTGTGTATTATATAATATTGGTGTGGAAAAAATCCTTACTTATACTGGTTATCTTGTATAAATATAAAAAAATAACTGAAGTCTAGGTAACAGTGTAGTGAAGAAAAGAATACAGCATTTAGAATGATGTAGACCTGTTAAAGGATCAGATGATCTTGACTGAGTTTCACCATTCACAACTTTCTCACTTAAAAAAAGGTAAAAAAAATTCTGGTCAGAGTACCTTTTGCCAGTTTAGGTAATAAATAATAAGAATATACATAGTTGCAATTCCATTCTGTTCATTCTCATTCACTCTCTTCAATAAAACATAATCAAAGAATGAAAAAGTCAGAAATGGAACCTAATTCTTCTTGATTACTAGTGTACAATCTTTAGAAAAATAAATATCACTGTCTTAGTCACACATTTGTATTATAGTTGCTGATCTAACACTTTGTAGCCTTTTTTCTTTCATTTTTGTTTGATTGTAAAATTATTAAATTTATATTATTTAATTGTATTAAATTATTAATATAGCTACACGGTAAGACTTAAGGCATTTTGAGAGTTTCAATGAGCCATGTGTTTGGAGGAGAAAGAAACCTGTTATCAGCTATGGTTATATTAATTACTATATATTTAAAACCCAACAAAATGCAGTGCAGCATGATGTCACTATAATGCAAGTGAAGTTTGATCTTAACTATAAGATTTACCTGTTTGTATAGATAGGAAAGTGTTACTCATACATCATTTTCAGTAACTTATTTTTGAGCTGACAAATTGTCATCTTTTTTAAATAAATCAAAGATTATCACATATAAATCTTTCAAAAAGAGTCATGTGCCTTTGCAACCACCGGTACCATTGCAGTGCCCCTTTTTGAGCCATCCTTGGAATTTGCTCAATTAGATGTTCAACTCCTTTGAGAAAATTTTACACTGGCCACTTTCTATGTGCTCAAGTTTTTGAATAACTGAAGAAATTGGAAGCTCTGCCATTTACACAGTCTTTATAAAGAAGACTGATTCTGAGCATCAGCTATTAAGGACTGTTCTCTTTCATGTGAGTACTAATGAATAATGAAAAAGATTAACTAGACCAACTAGTAATTCTAAGGTATACCTGAAACACATACAATTAATTTCTCCAAAATATTTTTGTTAATATGTAGATTTGAATATAACAGCATTAATTTTAAAAAATTTTAAAATCCGCCATATACTCAGTTTAATATTTTTATGAGAGTACCTCATTCCATTCATTTTTCTGGGCATCAAATGACTCAACTGTGTTCAAATAAGTGTGTCCATCATATCCTCCAACCACATAGAGTTTGTCTCCAAGGGGACACATGCCAACAGCATCTCTAGGAGCACTCAGGGGTGTCAGAGTTGACCATGAATCATTTTTTGGATCATATCTTTAAAGTTTAAAAGACAAATAAGAGGTAAAACCAATCATGTTACAATGTAAAATTGCAGGTATTTACACAATGTACACTTAACTATAACAATTAAAAGCACATTATAAATACAAAATGTAGTTTAAGTAATAAAGTTAATGATCAGTATGTTATAGAATTCTCTTCAGCCACCAGAGTATCTCAAGCATATCAAAACAATATTTCTTTCCTTAAAAATTGCATTTTGCCTACATCAGTGCTAAGATTATTTTTAAAGAGCTATAACATATATTAACATTATCTTCAAAATGATCACTTTCCCATTTAATCTTAAAGTTAGTGTGTTTTTTGATCATTAAAATGATATATGAGTTGCCTGATCCTGTTCAAATGAGAGCTCATATTTAAAATGAAAAGTGATAGAAAACAAGAGGATAAACTGTGTAAATGTAATGAGATGAGCAAGATGAGAGGGAAAGGCAAATTACAAAAGATTAAGACATGATATATATGTCTATTAATATCTCCAGTGAATACATTTGTTACAAATCACACATTAATACAAAAGATAGTTTAAAAATAAAAGTAACCATAAATATCATTGCTTTTGGGAAATGCTATTATTTCATTTCAATTAGCAATTATTGCAGTATATAATATTTGCTTTTCTTATGTGGAGTTGATACATGTACATAATACATATTGATTCTGTTTTTTGTTCCTTTCCTCCTCCTCCTCATTATTCCATATCTTAAGCCCTTCCCGTTTGAGAAAGATCTCTCTCCCTATTTCCTCTTTTCTGTATTTTACCTTGCTTTTTATTTATAATTTGAGTTTCTCATGTAAGAAAAATTATTCATAGAATAACGTGAAGCAGGTTCAAAGAGACTACCAGGAAACTAAAAACTCTATCGAAAACTGGCATAACAGCTTGAAAGAAACTAAGGACAGACTATCTGAACTGGAGGGCAGATTTTTAATATGGGAGAATGAAATGAAAAACTTCTTAAAAGTAACAAAGAAACAAACAGCAATACTACAAAGACTAGAAGATGATAAGAGGATCCATAACTTAAGAATTAAGAACATAAAAGAAGAAGTAGGGACACAAACAAATGAACTAAAAAAGCTACTCATGGAAATAATCAAGGAGAATTTTCCTAATTTAGCAAAAAGTAAAGATACTCAGTTGTATGAAGCATACAGGACCCCAGCCACCTACAACCCAAACAGAGCAACACCCAGGCATATAATAATAAAAATTCCAGAAATTCAATACAAGAACAGAATATTAAAAGCTGTCAGAGACAAGAAACAGACCACTTACAAGGGAACACCCATCAGAATTACAGCAGATTTCTCTGCACAAACCATCAAATCACGAAGAGCGTGGGGGGAAATAATTCAAGCTTTGAAAGATAATAATCTCCAGCCAAGATTGATATATCCTGCACAACTATCCCTGGAAATTGATGGAAAAACAAGGTGCTTCCAGTATAAAGAGGAACTAGGGGAATATGCAACCACCAGTTCAACTCTACAGAGAATACTGCAGGATATTCTAAAAAAGAAAAATACAAAGGATCCAGAAATAGTGGCAGAGAAGCCACAATGAATGGAGCAGAAAACAAAATAAAGAAGACAAACTGACAGCTAATGACAGAAAAAGAGCTCAACAGAAATGAGGCAGAGAAGATTGGATGATAGGAACAGCTATTTTGGAGAAAATGACGTCTTAATAGGTAATACTGATTTAGTATTCAATAAGTTTTGAAGTGTCATCAAGCTTTTGTTCTTCTGTCTCCATTGGTCTAAACAGGTTGTATCTTATTGGATTTTATTATGTATGATAGTATAAGCAAAAACTTTTAAAGACAAGGAGATTATACAGAAACCATTGTTCATTTTCTGTTAGTTGATTCTAAATACCATGTAATGCTGTCATTCTCTTAAATGGTTTTACATTGTTTTGATATATTTGATGCTACAGTATACGAAGTTATACTCAAAGATTTCAAGGAAAAAGACAATATGGTAACTACATTTATGTCAGGATTATCTTGTGGTGAAACACTCTTCTGCTTAAATGCTTATGTTTTGATCTGCGCTGTTTTGCTGTTATGTCTTCTTTTATCTCAATCTCCACTTCATTATTTACTTTTTTATTTTTATCCTTTTAATTAAGGGAAAAATAAATAAAAATAGAAGGATATATTGTAGTAACCCACTTTGACTTTCCATTATCTTGATTTAAAGCCCTGTATTACTCTCACCATCTTGTTTTTGTCTGATGTCCCCCTATTCTGTTTTGCTTGATAGTACCAGGTTCGAAAGTTTAGGCAACAGCTGTGAAGATAGTGAGATTCATTATGAGGCCCATTCTTGTTGACTATTATCTACTTTTGACGACCTATAATGTCTCCAATATTTTGGTTTTGTCGCTGAAAAGAAAGCCCACAAACTGGGAAAAGCTTTTAGGGAACTCTCTCTCAGACAAGGGACTCTTGTCTAAAACATATAAAGAATTGTAAAAAAACTCAGACTCCCAAAATTCTAAGATCCAATCCAAAAATGGGCATCTGAAATGACTACTCACTTCTCAGATGAAGAAATACAAATTGCAAATAAAAACATGAAAAAATGTTCATCATCATTGGTCATTAGAGAAACGCAAATTAAAACCACACTGAGATACCATCTCACTCCTGAAAGAATGGCCAGGATCAAGAAAACCAACAACAACAAATGCTGGAAAGGCTGTGGGGGAAAAGGAACTCTCCTACACTGTTGGTGGGAGTGTAGACTGGTACAACCTTTGTAGAGGTCAGTCTGGAGATTTCTCAAAAAGCTGGGATTGGAAGTCCCATTTGTTCCAGCTATTCCACTTCTAGGCATATTCCCAGAAGAACTAAAAGCATCATATCACAGTGATATATGTGCACCTATGTTTATAGCAGCACAATTTGTAATCGCCAGATCTTGGAAACAACCCAAGTGTCCATCAACTGATGAATAGATAAAAAAGTTGTGGTATTTCTATACAATGGAGTACTACACAGATATAAAGAAGGATCACATTGAGATATTTATCAATAAATGAGCGAAGCTTGAGATCATACTCATAAGTGAAATAAATCAGTCTCTCATGTGTGAATACCGAATAGTTTCCCTAATGTAAGTAATGATTAAAATATATAAAAGTATGTGGTAATCATGATTCCCCATTATATGGCCTTGAAACCTTATAAAGTTTTCACTTATTAATTGGAAAGGCTTTATTCTGGGCTTCTTGATATGGAAATATTTGAAGCTATAGTATAAGAAGTTATATTCAAATATTTCAAGGAAAAAGATATACACTATGGTAACTACTACTAAATTGGGTTATTTGATGGTGAAGCACTAGGTTGCTGAAACAGTCATGCTTTGACCTATTTTGTTATGATGTTATATCCCCTTTTATCTCAATCTCTCCCTTATTCACTAAAAAAAATTATTTAGTTATTTTTTATGTTTTTTAATTAAAGGGAAAATTTTATAAATTAGCAGGAGATATCATAGTAACTTTTTAAAAATTTCCTATTAACTTGTTTTGAAGTCCTGTAATATGCCCAATATCTTGTTTTGACTGATTAGACTCTGTTCCATTCTGTATGATAGTATCAAGTTTGGGGGTATAGGCAACTACTTAGAAGGCAATAAGATTCACTATGATGCCCATTCTGGTTTGACTATTGTCTCCTTTGGAAGTCCTGTAATGTTCACAATGTTTAAGTTTTATTGGTCTTGTTCTCTACTGTTTTGTTCAACTTTATAATAACTAATGAGATAGACAATTCTTTTTAAGGAAACAAGAGACATAATGGTAACCATTGTTGATAACCTTGTACTCTGTTCTTACATCATTTACTATGTCTATCCTTGGTTTTGACTGAAAGCTTTGTTTTGCCATATTTGACTTTATTCTCTTTCAAAAAAAAGTACTACGAACTAAGGAGTAATAAAACCCAAAATGTGTAAATTTTGTTGTAAAAAAGAGAGGGAAAAATGTGCTCTGAAGGATACAAATGCAAGTGTGTTTAGGGGTGTTAAATAGCTGACTATATTAATGTTTTTGGTTGGATTATTGAACACAACTGTTTGCAGTATCTCTGTTTGAATGTTCACTTTGTATGCTTTGATACTGTGACTTGAGCAACTATCTCTAAGAAGATAATGTGTAACCTATTAACTGGTGATTTCTTAGTGTTTTTTAATAGTTCTGTATTACTTGTACCCTTGCACCGCTTTGTTTTGTTTTGTTTTGTTTTGTTTTGTTTTTCTTTTTCCTTTTAAATAAAATTTAAAAAAAAGAACTGAAGATGATAATTCTAAGAATACGAATATAAAAATTTATCTGGCAAGGCAAGCGATTAAAAGTAGAAAAACAGGGAACAACCTACATGAAAATGATAACACAAGGAGAATTCAATATATATTCATTATAGCCATCAATCTAAATGATCTCCATTCACAATCAAAACAAATTAAAAAATGAAACATAAAGATTCAACACCAGAAAGATAACGTCAATAACAAACCAACATATAACAGTTATAACCATTAATGTAAATGGTCTCAATGCACCAATTAAAAGAAACAGACAGGCAGAATGGATAATGATACAACATCCAACCATATGCTGTCTACAAGTAACCCAAAAGAATATTCACAGACTGAAAGTCAATGGATGGAAAACAATACTACATGCAACAGGAACCCCCAAAAAGTGGGGGTAGCTATTCTGTTTGCAGACAATGTGAACTTCAAACTATTAAAGATCAAAAGAGATAAAGAAGGTAATTACATACTGGTTAGGGGAAAACTTTAAGAGGAATAGATAAGAATCTTAAATATGTATGCACCAAATTCCAGAGCACCCAGTTATATAAAACAAGTATTAACAGAAATGAAAAATCAAATTATCAGTAACACAATTGTAACAGGAGACCATGACACACCATTGACACCAAGGGATA